GGACATGGCGAGCACAATAGTGAAATTTTTCCATGAATGAGAAAATGCGCTAAAAATGTTCTATTGTGCATCAACATAAAGAATTAAAATATTATCTTGAAATTATCAAATACATCACGTTGCTCTCCAGGTACACCTGCACTTTCTACTCTAGGAAACGTAATCCTACAATAAATTTTTAAATGTGAAAAATACTTTGATTTTCCTTGAGGACTATACTTATTTCATAACCAGACCGTAATAGTATTTAAGATGCAATCCATATATTGTTTGTGACAAACAAAACATAGTTTTGTACGGAATTGGAAACAACAAGTACGAGATATACGAGCCACTCACTGTGCAGCACACAGAGCTTGGTCGACCGTGAGTAGCAGAACCCCAGGCACTCCTGCTTGGCAGCGTTGCATTTGGCTGAGCAGTGTGTCTGTTCAGAGAATAAAACACTATTTAATGAAGAAAATAATGGTATTCAAGAAGACTGATTATCCTCGGGGGATAATCGGAGAATTTTTAAACATTTCTTATATACGATAACAAGGAATACAGTAAAACATTATAAAACACACTTTAACGAAGAAAATATTAGTCTTCAAAAAACTGATTATCCTCGGGGGATAATCGTAGTATTTTAGAGAATTTTAGAATATAATTTCAAGGAATACCGTAGAAACTTATGAAACATACTATAATGAAGAAAATGATATTCTTCAAGAAATCTGATCCTAAAGAGATAATCGGAGTATTTTTTAGACATTTTTTCAAAGATAAAAACAAGGAATACTCTATAAACTTAACAAGCTCAGTTGACATGTTTAGGAAGAAGTAAAATTGTAGGGTCATCATAAAATTTAAGTAAAATTGTAGGGTTCGAGTTTCAAGGCGAAAAAGGGGGAGAAATATTGAGTCTGCAAGGAATTAATAACGTACACCGTCAGATCATATCGAGTCTTCGATAGAGTCTAAACAAACTTTAAGCACAAAATATAGAGCCCGTGTTCTCGCAGATCACTAATATAACCCTCGTCTTGTCATCATGCCGGTTCGTTCTGTTTCTGGTGCATATGTATAATGAGACTTAAACCAATTTAAAAACTGTTCAGCGCATCCATCTCACGTGGAGCAGAGATGGATGCGCTTTCGTCCGTTAAAACAGTCTTACCTGATTTGTCCTTATTTTCGGTAGGATTTTGAGAGTTAACCTCTACCTCCATACATATGTCACTATCCGGGAATATAAATTTTAAGTTGAATTATACGCAGCTTAAACGTCAAAGTGTTCTTACACGACAGCAACATCAATGCAATTTATCTTGCGGAACATTTTTTTAATTTTTATTTTTAACATATCAATATTTTGGTAAGTAGGCTTGTGACAGTGTGCTCCGGTTTGTCGTCTTCAACTTATCATGGACGAATGCAATGGTGAGGTACAGTGCAGTGATTTTTTATTAGCTTTTCTCATGCATCAAGGTCATGTTTATATCTTTGTTTTCTCCTCCAACTCTGTAATGAATTTGTTTTATACAGTTTATTGTATGTCACTGAGAGGCAATAACAGTCAGGAGATTGTATCGCATACCATGTATGAGAAATAGAATAAAAGATGCCTGCATTTTTGGATGAATTTATCATTTTTAAATGCTTACATTTAAAAAAATTTTAAACGATAGCATGATGAAAATATAATTATTATTCCATGAAATACTACATGGATCGTATAGAGTCAATCTATGAATTTAGAAGCAAAGAATGGTCCACAAGATTTCATATGTTTATAGAAAACGTATAGATTTGCGTATTTTAGAACCATTGTACATCTTTAAACTTAGGCCCAGTTTGCATTCAACTGTTAGCTCCTATTCCCTTGAAATTGTGGATAGATTTTTTTTTCTTCTGTGCCTATTATTTGTAAATTTAGGTTTTTAATTTCGTTCGGTGCTTTCAATATAATAAATTGTGACTTCTAATTTGTGATTCTAGATTCTACGAACTGACGATGGAGCTGGTCTCCGAAACGTTTTTATAAAGATATGAATTTTTGAGGACTATTCTTTGCTTTTAAATTCTTAGTTAATTTGCGATTTAATCAAACAAGCGACATCAATTCTTTAATACGAATCAATCTATAATTCGTCTATACTTACAAAATTCCAGATTTCTCCATTTACAGATATATACAACCATTTTCATTCTAATGACGGAAAATGAACGGTAGCTTTCAAACTGAACTTACTATTAAGATAAATAAAAAGGACAGCATTTTTTTCAAGTTGTTGAATCTTGGTACAACACATTTTTTCGTTACCTGATTTTTTATTCGTCCTCATTTTCTGACGATTATGTTCATAATAGAATATATTATCCAATATTTTAGCAGGTTGCCTGATGCTTCTAGTGAGTGACACGTATATTAATGACTTATTGTGACGAATGTTCCACTTGAGGTCTATAACATAACATAACATATTATAGTGATGTCGGCGCTAAAGATTAGGCTTAATGTGGCCTGTCGTCGATTTATGAACTTTTTTTTCGTGGCTTGTTCACAGAAGATCTAAAATCGTGTCATTTGACCGGATCTTTTCATGACTGACGATAGTTTGAAACAGTTCCTAGACTTCCACCGGGTTCGATATGGTGCTAGGCATTTCAAGTCTGGACATATATTTTTCCATAGCTTTATCTAGTCTGTTCATGAACGCGTTCATATGTTACACATATTTTTATGATGCATTGAAATTGAAAAAATTGTATAGATATGATGTAAAATAAATAAATATATTGTATCGTAAATAACACAAAAAACAATGAGATAAAAATTATTTCCTTAAGATTTCGTATTTTAGGCAGTAGAGGTTTAAAGTAATAAATCAGTTACTCTCCAGCCTCATGGCAATCTCCTGCTGTACTGGGCGATATTCCTGCCGAGATTTTAACAATAGGTTTGCTAGGATTCTAAATGTAATCAAGTAGTTACGCAGTAACTCATCAGACAGACGGCCTTCTCCTGCTGCCCTGGGTTTAAAACATACTTACTTGGAATATAATAATACATCGGGTTGAAATTCACACAAAAGTAGTAACGCCGGGACTTACCAGGCTCGTGGCCTTTTCCTGCCCTGGGTTTAAAACATACTTACCTTGATTGTAATCATATATCGAGTAGGATTTTATTTTATCAATTAGTAACGCGGTTACTCACCAGGCTTGCAGCCTTCTCTTGTCCTGGGTTTAAGACAAACTTACCTTGATTATGATCATAGGTCGAGTAGGATTCAATTAAATCAAATATTAACGCAGTTTCTCACTAGACTGGCAACCTTCTCCTAACGATGGTGAGTACTCGGACAGTTTTGGTCCCATTAGGCTAAGATTTGCAGAGCAAACCTATGATAATGCTTGACATGTATGCTGAAATTGGTGCCTGTGGCTTTTTCCTTGGCCGAGAAAACAAATTTTAAAAATTCATTCGTCGTTGCTCTTCTCCAAGGGGAAGAACAATTCCGTTAGAGCAGCGACTGAGGGCACCTCGGTTCCACGACAAAATTTTACGATTATTTCGATTTTATGGAAAAAATTGCAAAGCGATCCCAATGAAATTTAAAGCGTATGTACAGTGAGTCATGTCCAAGACGTGTGCACAGTTTCGAGTCATTTCATTACTTTAACGCGGAGTAATTGGGTGGGGAGGGGGAGAGGGAGAGGGTTTAATTTTTTTCTCGCCGTAAAATGATGCTAGAGGGCTGTAAGTTTACGGAAACATTCTTGACATCATGCCCGACATACGTACCGATTTTGGAACTTGTGGCTTTTTGATTGGCTGAGAATTTTTTTTCATTTATCTTAGAACATTTCATGTTTTTCAAACTTTTCTCGAATAAAACACAATGAAAATTACACCGCATGTACAGGAAGTCATGCCCTAGTTGTTTGAGAAGTTTCGAGTCATTTCATTTCTTTGTCGCGGAGTAATTGGGTGGGGAGGGGGAGAGGTTTTAATTTTTTTCTCGCCGTAAAAATGATGCTAGAAAGCTGTAAATTTACGGGGACATACTTCTCATCATGCCCGACATGTGTACCGAGTTTGAGACTTAAGGCTTTTTGCTTAGCTGAGAAAATTTTTTTTCACATTTTTTAAAAAATATAGGTTTTTAATTTTTTCTCGAAAAAATTCATAATACAAACCCCTTCAAAAATATATCGGGCTAGACATGTTTATGGTCACTATCTTCTTGCAAAAAGTCAGAACAGCGAGTGGTGCCGTTCTCCCTAAAACCTGAGGAATAGGGGGAGGAGTTTCAGTTGAGTGGCGTCATATACATGTTCCGAAAATGCCCAAAAACTTTCGGAGCATACATGTAATCATAATAATAATAATAATAGCGGTTTCAGCGTTATTAGGCCGTAGGCCTGTCGCCGATTCTTAACATCGCAGAACATTCACAGCATTTTGCGGTCTCGAACTCGCAACTCGCTGCTATAATTCTGCTATGCTTAACCGCCCGGCCTCCTTGCCGATTCTGACCAGAAACTGGCGCCCAGAGCTGGGATCGAACCCGCGCCTCTCTGCGCCAATCTTGGTACTCTGAACTTTAACCACTGGGCCACCCTGCCC